TCTGTGAAACTGTCGAGTAATGCCTTTCTTTTAAAGCATTCCCATGAGAACTCCGTACATAACAGAACGCTATCCTTAAATATTCCAGTATCATTGGACATGCAGTCAAATGTAAAAGCTCCTTCGGCGCACGTTGTGTCTCACCAGCCAGCACAGTAAGTGCACTCAGTGCTTTCCGCGTAAACGAGTCCTTTTTGCCGCTGATGTGCACTCTTCTGTCTTTTTGTTTTTCCGTCCCTCAGGCATGTTTCCGATGGACCAGTCGGATTACCCGGGCCTCCGCAGCGCCATTGACAGGCTGACCCTGAACGACTCGAGTGTCACCGTGCAGAGAGACAGCAGTATGGCCCTGGGAGCAGGCTGGAGGTGAGCCCGACACCTTTTGAATTAGAATGACGAAAGGGGACCGCAACAGAGGAGCGGTGTCACTACGTGTAATGTGAAGGCCAGGGAAAAGAGAAGTGCGGACGTTGAGCAGAGCCACAGAAAGTTTTGACCCGAGTCATGACGTCGTGACCTCTTTTTGTTTTGTTCATAGTTTAATACAAGGGAGGAACATGAAAACAAATTAATAAAACATGACAGAACAACTCAAGCTAGAGAACTGGAGACAAGTCAAAAGAGAAAGACAGAACATCAGCAGCAGCAGCAACCAAAAAGAAACAAGGAATAATATTTGGCTTCGGTTTTCTTATTCTATTGTTTGGACGTTTTTTTTCCAACTGATTTTCTGTTCCAGAAAAGTTCTCCACTTGGACGTCATATCCTGTGATTGCTTGGGGAATAAACAACTCTCCTTAGGACAGACCGTATTTTGCCAAGTGAGAGTTTATTTATCATCACAGGTCGTATCAGTCCAGATGATGAAGTTGAATTTGACTCCATCAGTGGCCGTGATTTAGATCTTTCGGAAGTACGAAGCTGCGCTGGAACTGCGACGAGCCCTCACCGTCACCGTTGAACTCTTTCCAAACAGGCTCTTTGTAATTAACAGCTTGAATATCCATCATTAAACCCGTGAACCTTCCTGTACACCGGCAGACTCGGCTTCCTGGGCCTCCTCCACATGGAGGTGTTCAATCAGCGGCTGGAGCAGGAATACAACGCCTCCGTTATAGTGACGGCGCCCACCGTGCCCTACAAGGCCGTCCTCTCTTCAGCCAAACTCATCAAGGCAAGAGCCGCTTCCTGCTCCCATGCTTCCTGGTCTTACAGCAGAGGCTCGTTCTCTCATAAAAAAGCTTCATTATGATGCTCACATCTCGTTGGTTGTCCTCGCAGGAGCACGGCAGTGAGGAGATCACCATCGTGAACCCCGCTCAGTTCCCAGACAGATCGGTGGTGTCGGAGTATTTGGAGCCGATGGTGCTGGGGACCATTCTCTCTCCGGACAGTTACACCGGCAAGATCATGGCTCTCTGCTTGGTGAGAGGAAAAAAAAGAAAGGGAAAATGACTCAATCTCGTAAGTAAATGATTCATTAGCAGCAGCCCTTCTTGGATTGTTGACGCTGTAAACTGTGTTGTTAAAGAACCGCAGAGGGATCCAGAAGAACATGGTGTATATAGACGACCATCGCGTCATGATGAAGTACCTCTTCCCTCTAAATGAGATCGTTGTGGATTTCTACGACCTCCTCAAATCTATGTCTTCCGGATATGCCAGGTAAATATCATGTAACATGTAATTAGTTATAAGTTGTTAAAGGATAGATTACGTTCTGAGGAAAAATGTCAGTGAATCCAGTTTTTAATACACTCACAAGCCAAGAAGTCTGTCTCCATAGTTTCCCCTCTCCTCTGTACGGCAGCGTACGGCAAGAAGAAAGAAAATCGGATGAGTGTCACATTATAACGTAGAAGGTTTATCGTAATAACAAGAGGTTTTCACATTATAACAAGATATTTTTATTGGTTACGGCATAAAAAAACAATACACTATTTATCATGTTGGAGCTTAAAGCGTTTCACGCCGTAACGTGATAGCTTATATTCTTGAATGACATTTTGTCAAGTTATAAAGACATAAGTTGGTCTCGGGCGGAAGTAGAACTTTAGCAAATGAGTGAATGAGCCATGTTGCTCAATTTATCCAAACCACACGCTGAGTTTGAAATTATAACAATATGAAGCCTAAGTTATCATGAAAGGTTTCACGTTATAACAAGATAAATAACTATTATTGTAACAAGAACAGCTTCTTGTTCTATTCTATGTCGTAATAACATGAAAATATCTTGTTATGATGTAAAAAATATCTAGTTATAACAAAAACCTTTTCACGTTATAACATGATACTGATCTGTTTTTCTTTTTCCGGGCGTGGCGGCAATGGGCTTCCGTACCTCCGCACCTCCGCACCTTTTCCCCTCGTGTCTTACATGTAACGATGTTGGTCTTTTATGAGACACTGCATCACCTCTGACTGACTCCATGCCCAGCAGTCCATGTATTCAGCAGACCGTCCTTCTGATTTTGTTTTCTCCCGTAGCTTTGACTATGAAAACGCAGGCTACCAGGCTGCTGATTTGATCAAGATGAACATTCTGCTGAACGGGCAGCCTGTGGAGGAACTCATCACCATTGTACACAGGTGTGTTTGAAGTCACAGCTGGGTTCAGATGCTGTCAACTTGTTTCATTTCTCGCGAAATATTTTGGCTCCGAAGGCCCCCAGCTTGTCTCCGGAGGAGTAACTCTGACGCTGCTTGAGGGGATCTTCTTCTCGTCTTGGAGGGCCGCACCCTCCCGTAGCTTCATTACACTCACTGGCTGATTTTTACAAGTTGACGTAATTTCAATGTTGTACTGTCCTTTATTATTATAGTGATTCTGCTGAGCCTATGGAGCATGAAATGTATTCATCACCCAGGATAACGTTAATAAAAAGGCCTCTTGGCAGCCGGTGTTGACATTATCTATGACAGTGACTTTACACAGCGGACATGGACTTCGTTCCATTTCTGACCAGGACGGTAGAGTAAACGCCGCAGGCCAAAAGTGATGATGCACACCAGATCTGCATTTAACGTTCTTAACCACCAAAGCCAGCGCAGACTTTGGTAATTGAAGGTCGCGGCGCTTTCGCCAACGATCGGCTGCTTTTGACCTTTTTACGGGCGACCTTCTGACGGGTGCGTTTTCCTCACAGGGGCCGTGCGTACAGCCAAGGGAAAGCCATGTGTGAGCGACTAAAGGACTCCATACCACGGCAGATGTTTGAGGTCGCTGTACAGGCAGCCATCGGAAGTAAGGTCATCGCAAGGGAAACGTGAGTACAGCATCGTGCTGACCTCAAGGCTCTGTGAGAAGCGTGCGAGAAATGCATATATATATATATATATATATATATATAAGCAAGCACTATTTGTGTGTGAAAAAAGTGTGCTGAATGGGTTTTATTTGCCTTAAAAATGTGACCCGACAGCGTTTTCCTCTTTCAGAATTAAGGCGTTCAGAAAGAATGTCCTCGCTAAATGTGTGAGTAAAGGTTTTCCTTGACTCTCAATAGTTGCTTTATGTGCCGATGCAACACAAACACTCTGAATTCTATACCCGTTTTTTTGTCTCGGCAGTACGGAGGCGACATAACGCGGAAGATGAAGCTGCTGAAGAAACAGGCCGAGGGTAAAAAGAAGATGCGGCGTATCGGCAACGTGGAAGTTCCCAAAGACGCCTTCATTAATGTCCTGAAGAGGAAAATCAAATAGACTGCAATAGTATTATTTTATAGAAATGTCGTTATCATATGTGGCAGGTCTTTATTATGAGAAAGGCCCTGTGCTGATTTCCACAATAAGTATTTAAAGATCCTGTTGTTGTTCAAATGCTTTATTAATACCACTGTTAATAAAGCGAATCATCTGACATTGATATGATGACATGTTTGGTATTTTATTCTGAATATGCAGTTATTACACAGAAGAATTCAGAAAAAATATAACACGATTCATCATTGAAGGTTTTGTGCAGTTAGAATGGATACTGTACAGCAGTCTGGGAGGCTCATCAATCAGTCAACTAATGAATGGATAAGTGTGATATTTGGTTAATCATTGAGGTCCTTTTTGGGCTCTTGGTCAGACAAAATAAGCAGGTTTCTTAAGCAGACAGACTTAAGCAGCTAAAGCTAATTGGTGGATTCATTTGATAATTAAAAAAAGACTGCCTAAGACGTATATCTGACCGTTTTGGGGGGAAATGTTGGTCTTGGTGTTTAAAAGGGGTTTTAAAGCTCATCTGGTCTTAACTTGTTTTTGATCTCTGGTCTCCATGAGAGATGAATTTAAAGTCAAACTATAAATAATGAATGTCAATAAACAGGGTGTGTGTGTGTGTGTGTGTGTGTGTGTGTGTGTGTGTGTGTGTGATCTGTGAAGCAGTGCAGCCAGTAGATGGCAGCATCAGCTCAAACCTACAAAACAGCCAAAAGGAACTTAATTCCCTCCTGAGCTCATTTACAACAGACCATATCAGCCTCAAGCTCCAAACACATCACGATCAGATTTTCAGGCCCCACAACTGGCTTTTATTCATATTATTAGTACCAAATGCCCAAAGAAAAGAACAATAGATAGTAGTAGGAACAGCTCCTGGAGGTCCGGCTCTCAAATTACACAGGGGCCATCCTTGGAACGGTAGGTTGTTCATAGTCTTTCATAGAATACTGCTGCATATGTGATATCATAAGTGACAGGCAGCTTAGGACTCACTTTTACTGTTACACCATATTCTTGTAATCAAATGACAGGTATTTATTGCTGATTTTGAAGCCATTTTCTCATGTTGCCCTTTTATCTCATTCCATATATACATTTTAAACATAATATTTTATTGTCTTTGTTATGGTTCGTTGACTGTATTAATTATAGTCTGTTAACAAGCCATAATATTTTGACAGCCACCCATTATTACGCTGACAGCAGCTGAGCCGTATACCATGGGGAGAAAAAGCGTATCGTTCTTGTTTGAGTCTACGTAATACCCGTAGTTCCATGCTATCAATGCGGAAGCTGCTATGAATGGCTACAGCGCTAACTGGTATTAGTGGTTTTATTCGCTATTAGAGCCACAGATATATAATATAGACGCGTTTAATTTAATGCCGAGAACGTGGCTTCTGTAATGCGTCGTTTGACAGTGCGTCCGTGTGAAATTGGATGTTATGGCTTTCTATTTTGTCCTATATTTTGGTAAACTGAGTGGCAAGCGTCATGTCGGTTGCTAGCTAGCAAGTTATCTTACAAACACACACACTCGTCCCTTTAAAGTGTCCCGTCAACCAGCAACATGAAAGTGCGCTCGTCTGTTTTTGCCTCGTTCATTTTAATATTTGAAGTGTTTGGCGTTGCCCTCTTCCTGCGGGGATTTTTCCCAGTCCCTCTTAAGTCTTCCGTCTCATCCAAGAACAAGCTGTCAGATCTGCCAGCGGAGCCGCTGACAGGTGAGCTCACCTGTGCGCTTTGTATGCGACTATCTCCCCTCGCTGTCGACGGTAACATGCCAACACTCATTAAAAACTGCTCCCTTTAATTACAGGAAGCTCTCCCAACTCCTCTCGCCTCCCCCAGCCCCTTTTTAAGCGGGTGGTTATAATGCTAGTGGATGCCCTCCGGGAGGACTTCGTGTTCGGACCCAACGGACACAGGTACATGCCCTACACCAGGCACGTGGTGGAGAGAGGCTCCTCGCACAGCTTCGTGGCCAAGGCGAGACCCCCGACAGTCACCATGCCCAGGATCAAGGTACGGTGCTGCTGTGTCACTTATGAGGAGGAGGCTCAACTGAGATGAAAGTGTATCTGCCCTGAGGGAAACTGCTTTTCAGCAGTTGCAAAGTGGGAAGACATAGAAGTCTAAGATAACAATAAGGTGCAAAATATGCAATATATACAGGATGCCAAACTCAAAGCCAAACTTTTCCTTTAAGTTTGTCCACGAACATCTCACTCATGGCAGGAGTCTATTAGAAATCCTTGTTTTGCTGTGGCAGGTTACAGTGAGCTGCAAATACATTTCCTGGTGTATTTTGTCCTTTAATGCTAAACTAAATATATTGAATATGCTACACCCCTTGTTCACAGCGTGTAGAACACATTAACCTACCCTGATGACATTTATTAAAGGCTATATATATATATATATATATATTATATTATATTTTTGTCATGACACATCCCATAAAAGGACCAAAGCCAACATTAGTCTGCTTCTCCCTGACTCTATCCTGTTTGTGGGTGTCAGCCTCATGACCAGCTGTTCCTACCGAACATGTACATCTTTAAAAACTGGTCTCAAATGTATTCTTCGTTATTCAAAAAGGAAAAGTAATATACTAAAAACAGACATGACACATGTCAGAGTTCAGGTAAAGAGAATGCTGTGCCCCTTGATTAGGTAGCGACAGAGAGAGATGGAGAACGGCATGCAACAAAGCTCCCCACAGGAAGTGAAAAGGGAACGTTGCCTTAAGTCCACTCAACTTGATTTGTTTCTTCTTACCCTACAATAAATGTGTAATCCTGGAATAAGTTGAGTTTAACATTGTTGCTTGACTTAATCACCAAATGTCAGATTAGATCAATAATTTAAAGGATTTTCCAAATGTTTTTTAATCAGTTATTTGCATGTGGAAGTAGTGCTGAAACCATTATTCAACTGAGTCACACAAACCTGAATCATTTCAGTTGTTTGTTGTGAAAAAAAAAGGCTGAAGATTTAGTGCTTCCATCTTGTGAAATGTGAGGATTTCTTTGTTTTGTATTATATTATTATGAATTGAATATCTTTTGGGGTTTTGGACTCTTGGTCGGACAAAAGAAACAATTTGAGGTTTTCTATTTGGGCTCTGGGAAAACGTGACTCGTAATGAGAAAAACAGCAAAGAAAAGAATTCCCTCATCACCAACATTTCATCCAGCCCATCAAAAGCCCATCCTTATTAATTAATCAGTTTGCGTCATTGATTCAATGATCTTTTCCAAGAGAGACCTGAGGTGCAAGTGTTGGAGCCAAACAACAGTATTCCTGTGAGCCCAGAACAATCACGCAAAAAGGACATTTTGAGACGAGCACTAAGTTTCCAGCCTTCAACTGCAAATAGCACAAAAAGAAAGGGTGAAAACACGGCGCTTTGTCACATTGAGAGTATTTTGGGAGCAGATGCAGAAGGGTTATGTCATGTTGGCCACATGACAGTTGGTTGTGCTGATACACACTGAGACTGTGGGCACACTGGGACAGAGAGGCAGCGTGTTGTGTCAATGGTGCCGGAGAGATTCTGCAAACGAGACTGATTTTCCAGGAGAGGAGAAAAGAAGAAGAGCAGCTCGGTCGTGTTGTCTGTTTGGGCAGCACCGAGCAGCACCGAGGCATCTAACTGAAGCTGTCAGGTGAAGCAGAATATTCTGCCTGAGTGTCGGAGGACATTCGGGTTTTCAGCTGTGGGGGGGGGGCTGCCAGCATCAAGCTGTTTTAAAGACAGAAGAAGTTTGGAGCCAAAAACTCAGCCCGGGGAGAAATACTTGTGGCTTCAGATACACAATGTGGACGGAGTGGCTCCTCAGAGATGTGGTCAGACAGGTAGGGGGAGGACCGTGAGACTGCAGACTCGGCAGTTCTCAGGTCAGCGGAGAGCCAAACACGGTGGACAGGATAAGTGTTGGGAGACTCTGGAGGAGACAACAACCGGGAGCACGGAAATATAATCCGTCAGAGCATTGGTGCTGTGTGGCAGAGCCGCTTACAATTATTTCACTTTCCATTTTTTATTAATGAATTCATTATTTAGCCTACAAAATGGCAACGCTAACGACAAATGCCTTCATCAGAGCTGCTAATTCAAATGAATGCTTCATGAATAAAAGCCAGAATTTGTGAAAGTGCCCAACTAAGGCTTCAACTATCTTCCTTCAATCAATCTGGCAGATTTGATTTTTTTAATCAAATCTTTTTTTGTCCAGAAAATAATGAAAAACGGTCGACCATCACATGAGACAAAGACGTGCAGGAACTTCTCTCAACTGAGAAACAGTTCACGTGAGGTTCAAGGGTGATTAGTTGTCTTTAAACTCAGGGTCGGGCAACGAAATGCAGTTTTAGTCCCTTTATGCTACATAAGAAAAACTAAAGAGAGCAAAACTCTTTTCTACGGTGGAGGATGAGTTGAGGGAAGAAAGTGCTCGGTGGGTTTGGTGGCTCAGCAGCTGATACCTTCTGTATCTCAGGGGAAAAAAGTAAAAAAAATAGGGAATGTAAAATTGATGACTTAATTCATTATTAAAATAGTTGCCTGTTTCAGCTTTAGTCCATGAAATGAGTCCAAGGTGATGCATTCGATTGCTTGTTTTGTACGACCGACTGTCCAAAAAAAACAAAGATATTCAGTTTATTATCATATCTGACAAAGAAAAGCATTACATCCTCATTATGAGCGTTGTAACTTGTGCATAGGTGGGATTCTTACTTGAAACGATGAATCCACTATAGTTGCTATTAACTATCTGTAGATTAAGCGGTCGATTAATAGACTGCACTAAATCCTATTAATGTAGAATATAATCCATATTCTGTTCACCAGCTAATTTAGTTGTTTCGACAAAAACGTTTTTACTAAAAAAAACTTGACGCGTTAGATTGCCGCCCTAGCTCCTGTGGAGTTTCAATGCGTTTTGGGTGGAAGCGTCTCCCAAATGAATGTAGCGTTAACTGTTTGCACACATGTTGGTCGAGGTGGACTCGCAGCGAGACAGATGTTCACAATCCAAAGGGTTTAGAGAAGTGATGATGGAGGGAGCGGGGGCCCTCAGGCAGCTGGGTAAAGAACAGCTCTGGGTGTGAACCTCCCTCAAAAGATTTGTCGACCGTGAAAGAGCATGGAGCAGGAAATCGATGAAGAGGGGGAAGCTCAAAATATAATCTCTCTGATTTAGCAGCGCAGCCATGAAGGCTTTGTGTGGCAGCAGAGGTGTACAGTACAGTATATATTATATTATATGGACCAGGACTGAAAATGGCTCTTCATCAGCTGTCCAGAAGCGTGTAAGTTAGATTTGCAGGCTCACTGAGAGCATACAGGTACATCTATAAACCGGCACATAATGTGACTTTTTAGAGGCACGACACAGTTTTTATCCCAAAGTAGAGCTTCATATTCTTCCTCATATATCGATGAACTTCTCCAAAATACAACACTAGATGATTTCCTTTTCATTTTGAAGTGGAGTGGAAAAAACAGACGACAGCCCGCTGTAATGAGATTACTGTGATGGTTAAACGCTGAAGTGATTCAAATGTCATCCACACAGCGGAGGTGTGTTGAGGTTCAACTGTTCCATCTCAGCGTTCAGACTTGGTGACCCACCAGTAGGTGGCAGTACAGGCCAGCTGCCTCCCACTGCCCCCCATCACTGCATTGCACCCAATTAACTGGTAGACACAGCCGACTAACTTCAATCCTAATCCATTCACGCACACATTGGACCTCGCACTCATCTGTAAATGGTAAATGGACCGTATAGCGCTTTTCAAGTGTCCTGAGCACTGAAAGCGCTTTAACACTGCATGTCATCATTCACCCATTCACACCCTGATGGCAGCTACTATACAAGGTTGCCACCTGCCCATCAGGACTCTAACTGATCATCCACGCCCATTCATACACCACTGGGGCTAAGTGTTGTTGTGACATGGACTAGCGGAGCCAGGGATCGAACCGCCGATCCCCTCATTGAAGGACGACCCTGCTGTACCACTAAATGCTGTACCCTGCTGTTCCCGCTAAATATAACAGCTCCTGTTGCTCTTTTCTAACCGTGACAGGAAGAGAAAAGAAGTCCTGTATTCACATGTGGCCGGTCAGACTGGCTCGGCACTCAGTGGGCATTGCTGAGGCGGTGGATTTGGACACAGCAATGTGGCTGTTTTGAAAGGCTAGTATCTGCCTGGGCTCAGATCTTGGTCCTCTGGTCCTTTTGCATCATCTGGTAAGAAGGCCTGAGAAGAGGATATTTAAGTTAAAGGTAGAAAGTATTTCATTCAGTAACCAAGACGCGAAGGTAAAAGGAAACCGAGAAATCTTTTGCCAGCCCTTTACACCTGTTCATGTCTGCATTCCCCGCCGATATTGTATTTGACATTTAAGCAGAGGCCCATCGTGAGCTTAGACACGTACTGTGAGCCGGTAATTAGTGCGTTGATGAGCTGCTGATTCGTTTGGGCGACTCTCTCAATGTTTTCTCAGAGCTGCACTTCTAGATTTAGTCTCTTTAAACTGTGAACTCTTTGTCTCGAGCTGATTGCTTTCTTGACAGAAGTATTCCCTCTGTGTGGCCCTGAGTTTGTTATAGCAAACGGCAGAGTGTTCTACCAGCTTGGCAAAAACAAAAAAAAAGGCCACTGGTTTCATTGGTCGGACTATTTCTCTTAATAGACGAGGGACTGAACAGGCGGAGAGAGAGACGACTGCTTTTGAAGCAGAACCATCCGTCTCTTCCTTGAAACGAGCATCTGCACCGGCAGGAGAAAAACAATAGGAAGGAAGGAAGGAAGTCAGTCAAGGAGCAAAGCTCAGAAGACGAGGCCCCAAATTTCAGCTTTGGTTTTCCGATCAGAGCAATAAGCGTGGCTCTCTGGTTTATTAGTTAGTCACTAAGTAGGAGAACTTTACTGTCATACATCAGGGCGCACATGATGAAACCTCATTGTCCCTCCGTAGGTATATTGAAAATGAAATGTAAGAAACGCTTGAGGACCCGTGATAGTTCCTGAGGTTTGTGTGGGTGTTGCACCCTTTAGTTTATTGCTATTCGTCTCTTGCGCCCGTGAAGAAGCCGCAGAGCAGCTATGGAGCAGCAGAAGTGGCACTCGCACAGTAAAGTGTGTGTGTGTGTGTGTGTGTGTGTGTGTGTGTGTGTGTGTACACACCTATCTACCTACCTCATGGAGGTTGAATCCCAGTGTTTCCTGCCAGCATCTGCATCCTCAAGTCTCCCGCAGTGCGTGAAGACTCTCCCCCCCCTCCCACACGATGCACCGCGCCCTCTCCCCTGACTCCCCCAGAACAGGCTGTGTTTCCCGTGTCAGTCAAATGGGGGCCAGTGTGTTGTTTTAGTTCAGATTCCATGATGAAATCGGTAGAAACTGTACTTCATAAGTGTCATCAATCTATCCTGATTCAGCTTTCACTTCCCATTTGTGGCTGCAAGAGCACAGTGTGGTGTGGGACGTAGTTTGGTGTTTAGATCAAAGCAGTGACCGACGAGATTAAAGGGGAATTGTTTCATTTGTTCTGCTTTTAGAGATCCTTCATGAATATAGAACAGCATGTTTTTACTGCAGCACAAATCTGAGTCAGCTGGATTAAATATGGTGTCTTTGTTTAACAGCATTAAAAGACAATTACTGTTCAAAGGACTGTTAAACACCCCCCACCCCCCCCCCCCCCCCCCCCCCCTCTCTCTCTCTCTCTCTCTCTAGGCTCTCACCACTGGCAGCATCCCGGGCTTCATTGACGTGGTGATGAACCTGAACTCTCCGGCACTGCTGGAGGACAACCTGCTCTGGCAGGCCAAAACAGCGGGGAAGAAGATGGTGTTCTACGGAGACGACACCTGGGTGCGCCTCTTCCCCAAACACTTCATGGAGTACGACGGCACCACCTCCTTCTTTGTGTCCGACTACACCGAGGTACGTACATACGTACGGGGTCCAGCTGCTGTGTCAGAGACACGAGTGACGAGGATTATAAAGCGCCTGGTGGCAGAAACGGTTTCTGTGTCATTGAGAAACATGGAAAAGGGGAGAGGAAGGGAAACCTTAACTATGAAGAAAGTATTTCAAACCGTAACATAACTCCAAATACAGACCGTAAAGAGCGTACTTGACGTATTAATGATGCATTAAGCAGTGGTTTGTGTCTATATTGCGTGTACGTCGCTGCTTCATCTAAGAGGCTAAGTGATCTGTATTAAAGAGATGAAGGCAGCAGAGCGACCGGGGAGGCGAGATCACACACAAAGCTATTTTGCTCCATATGCCATAGCTACAAATGTCGCGTAATGTTTGCCTGACGATGATCAGATAATCATCAGACTCCATCTCCGCTCTGGGTTAAGCTGCTCTCGGCTCAGTTTGTGTTTGCTCAAGGGGCAGCGGCTCTGAAGAGCACCAACCTTAATCGGTTATCAGGTGAAATCCATGCAAATCGGTAATAAATGTGTATCTTTGTTCATGCACCGTGTCCCCCCGATGTAGGTTGACGACAATGTGACCCGTCACTTGGATAGCACCCTCAAGAGGGATGACTGGGACATTCTGATCCTGCACTACCTGGGCCTGGACCACATCGGGCACATCAGCGGACCCCACAGCTCCCTCATCCAGCCCAAGCTGCTGGAGATGGACGACATCCTGAAGAAGATTCACAGTGCTCTCATTTCAAAGGTAGGTTCTTATATAATCTCTGCTTCTACGTCATGTTGTATCTGCATCTTCTGTTGTTTTAGGCTTTCAGAATTTAGTTTTTCATTGTTCAAATTTGTTGCAGAGTTTGTTTGGTAGAAGTGTCATGGAAGGCCTCGCCTTTAGGATGTTGTGATGTGGGAGATTACACTATTTTCTGACGTTTAACAATCAAATTATGAAGAAAATGATGTGCAGATCAATCTATAATGAAATTATTTACATTATTTATACCTTTACACACCTGGGCGTTTTTTTTTGTGTACGATTAATTCTCACGTCAATATATTTTTTCAAACTGTTTATGTCATGAGTACGTTCACACAGAAACAATATTATGCAGCGAAAAAAGCGGCGTAATTTATATGGGAACAAGGTTAATTTTCGTAGCTTTCACAGACTGAATAAAAATATCAACCAATCACGTTGTGTGGAATAGACACATTCAAAACATACACTGTAGTGTACGACAACAGGGAGGCTACGTAGTCCGAACCAAGACGGCAGACTTCATTACTCCTTTTAACCTCGTCCAACGATCCATCCTTTTTGTTCTTAACTTTCACAATAAAAGCCCTAGACATATACATTGCGTGACGGTTTTCCAGAGCGAAATCAAATTCACTCAATTGGCTGAAAGGAAACTCAATGAAATAGCTGCCAGTAGCTCAGGCTGTACAACAATCTGCCAGACGCTGCTGTAGGCCTTCAGACGCAGCACTATGCATCAACTTAATAAGTCAAACGACTGTGTAACGTTCAGCTTGTTGTGGAGTTCTGCCCCCAAGTGGACAAAGAAATGATAAATAGAAATTTAAAATCACTATTGTCAAAATCACTGATGTATTTAATTGACCAAAATGAGATATACAAAATGCACCCAGCAGATGTTTTCAAAATGGGGAATTACCAAAACTATTTCCAGAGTAATGCAAATGGAATAGAATACATGAGGTTTATATTACATTCACTGCTATCGTTTCCTTTGGAGGAAGGCAGTTTGAGTCTGCGGGGGAATGGCGGACTCTGCCAGTAAAGAATGAAAACTCTTACATAGACAATTACAGAATGTAAATACGTTCAACTTGATGCTCGTTTCATTTCATAAAAATTTTGAGTGTTCCAGCTTTGACCGTTTTTTTGTTTTTTTACTCGCTGTGTATGTGGAGGTACTGGCTTAGCTTCCACTTTTTAAATTCAGGTTAATTCGACTGATTGCTGCGTGATTTAATTGTTGCTTGTCAACATCTGTTTCTCTCTATTAAAATCCATTGAACTCAATATTACCCTTACACTTTTTATTAGTAATGCTATCATTTTTAATGGTTTTGGGGGTTATTATAGTAGCAGTCAATGTCATCATATAGTAAAAAATAAATAAATGATCAATAGTTAATATATATAAATGTGATGCTATCAGGGGATACATTTTAGCATGATAGGTGTTTGGATGATCATTTAATTACGCAGATAATTTGTACCGTTTCCAGCTGTTATTATATCTATATCTCTGCAACCGCAGAGATTTAATAAACTGTTAAGCTTTTCTGCTATCTATCATTTTGCCATTCATCACCGTGCAGGTCTCGTGGCTTTGTTTTTTTTCTCCAGCACGGTCTGACAGCACGTCGTGTGTGTGTGTGTTGTTAATGGGGCATTGTTTCGTTGTCATTCATCTGTGTAGCTCGTACTTAGATTGTGAAGTCGTCTCAACGCGAGCCTGCAATCTCCCTCTCCTCTCTCGTGCTCCTGCCTCCCCGAAACGGCAAAGAGAGAGAGAGAACAGAGGCCAGATGCAGAGCCCCATGCAAACGTTCCCTCTTCCTGAAGTGTGCAGCCAAGAGCCTACGTTTGGATGCGTCCTCCCAAAAGTTGTTCATTCTGCCTTCAAATCCCGTCTCTGAAAGGCTCATGGACACATCTGTGTGTTTTTGGGGGGGTCAGCGGCCGCCTCGCATTGAGCTCTTTGAGAGAAAGTTGTTTGAAAGTGTGGCTTCAGTCGCTTTAGTTAAAAGCTGTGCGGCTGTTCTCTTGTGCAGCAGCACTGTGACCTAAATATAGACACAGCCCGGTGGGGTCCCGCAGGACACCTTTTAGAAGCTTCTGCAAAAAAAAAACAAGTTAGTTTCCTCTCATCAGCACATGCTGTTAACGTGGTCGGCCGTCCTTCAGTACGTGAAAGCGATGGCGGTTCCCGCTGCAGCGGAAGTGAAGGAGGAATGCAGGGTGGTATTGAAATGGCGGCCCTCAAAGTTTCCTGCTGTAATGTGATGTGGAGCAGACTCTTTCAGCGAGTTCACATCAGGGGCACAGACATGCTCTACCTGCAGAGTGGACGCACACAAAGCTCTCCATTAAAACGTGATTGCAAAGCAGGACCTCCCGGTCATAAAGACCCCCATCAGACCTTTCTGTTAATGGAGATCGCACGGCCTCAATCTTCTCCTCTGGATATTTTTTTCTGATATATATTTTTTGAGGCTGATCTGCTGCTTTCTGCTGTTTGAAGTGCAGAACTTCTTGAAGCCGACCTGCGGAGCTGCGTGTAATCTGAGCCACGTACTTCATGAGAGATAAATCAAATGTGTGAATTTCTTTTTTACTCTTTCTGTCTTATAATATTCTGTCCTGACAGAGTACCTGTTATTGAGCTATAAGTCCACAGAGCCTTCTATACAGCAAACGCACAATTTATCATTTCCCCATAACTTTAGCTAAATATTTTCAACTATTTAGTCATTACTTTAGCCAACTGATTCAGTTACTTAATACTTTTAGTGCTTGGTTACTTTACTTTAACTACGTGTTTTTTTAACCGTTCTATTACTTTGAATTGTCTTTAGCTAACTTACTCTTAAGTCAACAACTTAATGCTTATAGTTTACTATGTAACCCTGTGTTGCATAATGACAATAAATCATTCAAATATTACTTTTAATTACTTTTAATTTCACTTCTCTGCTCGCTTGCTTATTCTCATTTGCAATGCGTGTGTTACAGCCGACAGTGTATCAGTTTACTGGTTGTTCTAATCAGCATCACACCAATGTGTAACACTATTTGACTGTATTATGTGGCCGTCATTTTTTTTACTCCAATCTCAAACTGTATTTCTTTAGTTGAACTTTCCCCGTACCCCGTGGCAGCAGCACCAGTACCCCGTGGGGTAAAGTACCCGCGGTTGGTAATCACTGATTTACCAGATGGAGTTTCATGATTTCAGAGTAATAAAACGAAAAGCCATTTAACTTGTTCATTCCTGGCTTGCTTGCAGAGAACATGAGCTATTATCTGACTGAGAATGGTACCTTGTGTATTGGTTTAAAAACCAGGTTCCTTATGAAGTGTGAAAAAAGAGCTCGTGGTGCTTTGATCCTGGAGAAGTGAACTCTGACTTATCCTAAACAGAGAGGACACTCGCTGCTGTTTAGCACCAGTCTTTAGGTGTTCCCTTCTTTCTTGCCATCCTTTTGTGTCCGAAGCCATTTCTAACAAGCACCCGAGGGGTGAAGTCTTTTGCTTCTTCGTTGCTGAGCGAGTAACAAACACGACTGGTCAGCTGAGAGCACAATGGCACAGTTTCGCCTCCAACCTGCAGTGTTGGCTCAGTGTGTTCATCACGTTCTAACAGTGTCAAAAAAAGAAAAGAAGGATCGATTCACCACCACAGCCGCGGCTAAATAAACACTTGTGCTGACTTTGGCCTTTTCTGTTTGGATGAAGTCCTCCTCAATGAAACAAACCTTTGATCTAACTTGGCTTCCAAACACCAAAAAAAAAAGCAGCATTGATCTCGGTCTTTTCAGCAATCATTGCGTTTTCTGTCTTTCGGGCTGTCTATTAATGCAGGGTTGAAAGGAGGCAATTTCCAATCTTTAATAATAAATGAAGTCTCTGGTCTTTCTTCTTTTTTCTCGTCTGTGTGTGGTACAGCACGAGAGCAGATGAGTCTTTCTGAGCGTGTTTGTAATGTGTGGTAAGATTTGGCTTTTGTTAACATCTGCTGTCGTGCTGTTGTAAAGCGGCCCCCACTGCCGTGACTCATGAGGCGTCCTCGTCGAAGTCATCGTCAGCGGAAGGTTCTCGTGAGTCTAGTTGAAAGGGAATCGCTGAGGGAGGAACTGCGCTTGATCAAAGTCGGTCATCCCGTGCTTGTTTGCTGCCGACAGGAAGTGTTTGTCATGGCTTAAGTAATAATTTAATGTCTTCAACATAATAACATGAAAACGATCTGGTGAAGCAATCTACTACCCCAGCCAGTCATTTAATGCTATTGCTCTGTTTTCCAAACTGCATGCATCTTTTTTTAATTTTCATTTTGATTTCAAGTTTGAGTTATTCACATCTCGACTCTGAGCTTTGAGGCCGTGCTCTCCCACATCACATGCAGTGGGAGTCCATTAACCTCGTGTGTTTGCTTCTCTCAGGAGGCGGAGGGATCCTTGCCCTACCTGCTGGTGCTGTGTGGGGACCACGGCATGTCTGAGACCGGCAGCCACGGCGGCTCCTCCGAGCCAGAGGTCAATACGCCTCTGGTGCTCATAAGTCCGGCCTTCAAAAGAAAAGGTGAGCCGTCTAAGTGTTGCTTTGAGAAGCCGAAGGCTGGGGGATGTGTCATTAAATCGAATGGACTCTGTTTGGCGGAGGCCGGTGATTTCCCCCCCCCCCATTGCCAGCCACACCCTGTCAACATGCAGACCCACGAGCAAGTGTGTAGACTTGACACGAGTTTGGACCGTCGAGTTAAGGCGGCGGCGGCGTCTCTGCCGGAGGAAAATGTGTTTCGATCCAAATTCTGAATTAAAGTGAACGTGTGCACAGGATTTGTAGGGGAATTGTTTTCTTTCATGCTCACCCAAACCTTCCCATTCATTTCAGCGCGAGTTCAAACAGAAGACTCCCGAGCAGAACTTTTGTTGCTGAGTGGTGACTGTGGCTGTGTGTGGAAGTGTGATCGCGATAATTGCTTCTCTCTCAGCCAAGTTTATTTTTGATCCTCTCTCTCACATGGATCTTTTTTTTGTTTTGTTTATTTATAGACCATTCATGTTAATTAATCACTTACAGTTCACTTGAGTTGTTGCTCCAGAATTGGAGGTTTTGCTCGCACTCCGTGCCTCCTGCTGAGCCGACAGCTTGAATCACTCTACCAGTCGAACGTTGTGCTTTCGATTCCTCAAACTCCACCAATCACAGAAGGGGTGGGATGTAAATGCCAAAATCGGTGTTCTCTTCTGTGAAATGCATGTAGACCGAATGCCTTTAGTCATTGATGAGGTGGGTTTATGTGTTTCATCGGCATAGAAATGAAGAGAGGCTGACGAAGTTTCTTTGGGATAAAAGTTAAGTGTATATCGTCGCACCTCTTTGGAGTTGAAAAACAAAACAGAAATCTCTAATGTGGAGAAACTGTTCTTACATTTACAGGAAAAGGTGAGTTCATGTAGGATCACATAAGAAGCTGGTTGAGTAAATACGTTTTTTTATAGAACTTTAAGTCCACTTGTGTTGTTGTCGTAGTGGCCTTCACTCGTTGAGCTTCCTATAGAGGAGATATTCTGAAGCAGAATAAATGAGCACAAAAATTTAGACAATGGGTCGAGCATTATTTGAGTATGTCGTGGACAGACAGACTCAGAGATGTGCACAATAACGCACGCACACACGACCAAATACATAATCTCCTGGCGCAGATAATAATTACAGCAATGTAATATACACAATTTATATGTATTTATCAATAATTCTAGACATGGTAAAAATCAAGACATAGTCATAAAACTCACTCACACACGCACTAAAAAAAAGTCTTGAATCTAGCCTTAAAGCTACATGGAACAGACTTTATATAAATACCTCCTTAGACGTGCATATGTTGACATGAAAATACTTCCTGTTTAATGCATCAGTTGGTTCAATCAGTGGCCTCATCAGGATCACCGGTTATTTTTAACACAGTGAGAACAGCGAGTCGTTAGCAGGAAGCTCAACTGTTGTTTTTCAGGAGAACATGCTGCTGAGGATCAGAGTTCATTACAGAGCTTCACTGTTTAATCTGAATGCATCGCTGAGAAAGCAGCAGATCGGCAGAGCATTTAGTCGACGGAGCTGGGAGGATCCCGAGAGGCGAGGCCACTTTAATCAGACAGTGTGGGTAAATAAGAAGCCACACAGTCATTGTTTACCTCAGTGGCCGTGCATCCGTGCCTGTTCTTGCTTTCTTCAAGAAGCTGTGATGCACCGCACTGCTGTCAAAACCAAGAGGAGCCAATAACACAGAATGCATAAGGTCCCAGTCTCATGACGTCCCAGTCTCAAAACGGCAACAATGGTGCAACCACATCAGTAACGGATGCAAGAATGTTTTGATACGTTGATGGACACAATTTCAGCCAACTGACGTGAGAGAAATATTAATGAACCGAGGTACAGTATAGTACCACTCGTCTCATAAATGCAGCATCAATTTAAACCCCATCATAACAAACATTGAGGGAACTGTTTGCTTATTTATTTATTTATTTACACATATATATATATATATATATATATATATATATATACTGTACATACATAATGTACATACGTGTGTGTGTGTGTGTGTGTGTGTGTGTGTCAATCATTTTGGACATAGCAAAAATCAGACAGTCATAAAACAAACACACACACTACCTCTCTCACTCACACACACACACACACAAGATCGCTCATTCATAAAACATGTGAGTTTGCAAAAACACTATTATTAACAGACGCACGCAGCAAAGGAAAAAATAAATAATGTGGAAAAAAATAAAATACATTGCTATAATCATAATAAACTGACTTGTATGACAAAGGAAATGATTGATTGGACTCAGATTAACTCTGCTATAATCTGTTTATCTAGTGATGGTGCCAGCTCTTGCTACAAAGTGATCTCAAAGAGGAGCGAATATGTGGCTGTGTGACATCAACGATTCAGGAATGACTATGGGGATATTTTAGAGACAATGTTAGCGAGCTACACTTGCGTGTATACGGCTTCTTCGTCAGCTGCAGGTTCATCATCTCTGAATCAGCATTCCGTGTGTGTGTAACCTTTTGCTGAGTTAGGACACATCTGTTCTAACAGAATGCGAGTCGCTGTTCTGTTCTGTGGAAGCCGAGCAGCACGGCAGAGTGGGTCTCCTTCTAAAGGCGTTCGGTTGGATGTAACAGTTACAGTATGTGGTCAGAGATCTGGCGAGCACGTCTCTTCTTCTTGGCCAACAAATCCCAAAATATGAATTCATATGAATATGAATGATAAAACATCTCCATGGGGGGGGGGGGGTTGAAAATAATTCGCCGGTTTATTTCATTGTGTCCAATTACCAAATTAGCTCACAGCTCTGGGGTTCGTCCCATTCTTTGGTCCCACGTACGAGAGCTGCATTGTTCACTGTTGGATATATTTACACCGGTATCGTTCATCATTGCAACCTGAAACCTTCACTCAGACGCAGACAGTTTGGGGAATGACTCCCTCTCTCTCTTTGTATTCTTGAAAGCCCTCTACAGGAAGCCAAGTGTCGACAGGAAAATGTCTGTTCGCTTCCGACAGGTGACGAGCTTTGACAAAAACGATAATGATTTTGTTCTTCCAGTCATTGTTTTGTTTTCGTTTGGGTTGCTTTGCATGTTGCCCCCCTCGGCCCGGTTCTACCCACAGGCATTGATACGAGAGTAATCATGAGGATTGATGGTTGTACTTTCCTGTTTGGGTTCAAGTCTTCTGTGTTAGAATTCAAATTGAATGTTGCGATGTGTCTAATCGGCAAAGATGTCACTAATGGGTTTTGCTTTAATAGATGACGTGAGAGTCGGCTGTGGAGAAAGGCGTCAGTCGTTCCACCACACACGCACACAGTAAAATATGATCTTCATAATCGCTTCCAAATAACTCTATGGCGTGGGATTTTGTTTGTGCAAGATTTATGACTTCAGGAGGAGGACCTCCTTTTTTTTCAAATTCATCTCTGAGTGTTGTGAGATTCTTTCAGACAATTATTTCACACTCTTATTGTGTGAACGGAGGAATCTTCCACAGCAGACAGTATGGAAATTGAGCCATTTCCTCCCGTCCATCATGTAAAAAGGAAATCCTTTTTGCTTCACTGTTTTGGTTAGTTATTGAAGGCTTTTTCTATTTTCCGTGACCGGTTCTTAAGGGGACAATCCACTGGCAGGCAGAGGGTTTTACCATGAATCGACCCTTTGGAATGAATAGAGGAAGAACTTCCTTGTTACATTCAGGTTGAACAGATTCCTTGAATTGTATACAGGCCGGTCTATCAGGGAAGGTTAGAAAACACAGCAAGACAAAGGCACCACCAAAATATCAAAAGTTAAGAAACTCACGTCATTATTTCACATCATGTTTTGTAGGCGCAGTAGATCCTCACTGTGTGTGTGTGTGTGTGTGTGTGTGTGTGTGTGTGTGTGTGTGTGTGTGTGTGTGTGTGTGTGTCAGTGGGAATGGAGAAGCCCGGAGTGGTGGAGCAGGTTGACCTGACTCCAACGCTGGCCCTGGGACTCGGCCTGCCCATATCTCAGAACAGCGTGGGCCGCATCATCCCGGGTGTCTTGGAGGAGACCTCACTCCGAGACCAGCTGCGCTACCTGCATCTCAATGGCCACCAGCTCAGCTGCCTGCTGAAAGACAGCACGCCCGACTATGAGAAAGGTGGGTTTACGAATTCGCAGAGTCCCACCTCCGGACTCGTTAAAGCTCGGGAAAGTCTCATCATTATGCTGTGTAGTTCAGAGGCTGCTGATAGCGTTCAGCGGCTACATTTTCCCCCAATTATACAACGATGTGACTTTTGCCGTTAGCAAGAAAACTCTTTCCAAAATGCAGTTACATTTTTCCTTACTCGATTGACATTGGTAGAACCACCAAACGCACATCAGGTCAGTTCCCATCACTCTTCTCCCAAACTATTAAGTAAATGGGGGCATCTTTTTGGAACGGCAAAAAAAAAATGTCCAGCACATGCAGTATCACGATCGTAATGTTTTATTTTCCCCTCACAACGTGACACCTAATAATCTGCTTAATGCGTGACAGAGGGTGTGGTGAAAAAAATTATTTAATAGTACCGAGTGAGTCCTGTAATACTGAAATAAGGAACATTGAGAAAAGAAGTTTGTCTTTGTATTATTTATTCCCTGCGCAGGCAGAGAAGACTTCATCGTCATACAGAGGATGGGCCCAGAGTCCAGCCCCTCAGCGCAGGTTCGGGGAACATCATGTATTTACATTTTAACAATTGATCAACAGTTTCAAACTGCCCATTGACACCTCCAGTCATCCTCTTCTTCGTCTGAGCTCATAGTGAACCCACCGACTCCTATTGCCCTCAGGAGTTGGGTGGGAGCAAAAACAGAGCAAAAAGGAGACAGAATATTAGTGTGTTGCTCAGCGTGTGCTGGATGTGCACACGGTACTTTATAGGAAGCTGTTTGCTAACACGTTAGCTATAACAACTCTGCGAGACGACGCCGCTACGTGGCCCAAAAAAAGGGTTAGTGCTGCTTTAAAGAAATAAAATGTAGGCGAGCACATGTTCTGACAGCTCTCTTTTACGGCTAGTAAAATCCGAACACGCCACAGAAGTTGTTGAGATAACATATGTGAGCTCGGATGAAGCGGATCACTGTCTTATTTGGATGGTTGTTTTATTTGCATTCCACTCCCCAGTTTTGTGCCTGTCAGATGGCGCAGACTTAAGTTGACTCAGAAACGGTTCACTGTAAGTAGAAGTCCGTCTCCTCATTATGCGCTCCATGTTGTCAGCTACATCAAAGTATGCATTTACAGGAAGTAGGTTACTAAAGGGTGACCATAGACACTGAACGTAATACACAGGAGCAGGGCTTTGAAGAAGAAAGACTGAACCCGGCTCCACCAGAAACCAAGCATCCGAGTGACAAACAGACAGACCTGTTCTGGCATGTCAGGGTGTAAGTGTTAAACCCTCTGTCTACTGGCTTCTATAAGTCTGTATATAAATGACCTTACAGCTGCGGGGAATCCACACAGATGGACTCACAAAAATGCTGTGGTCTGTTCTGGAACATTAATGGCGCTCGCTCTTTGTGCAAATGCATGCACATATCCTCGCGGAGTTCTGCTCCCTACTCTCATCTCGGGGTCACACTGTTTGTCAGAGTTATCCATCTCACAGCCACTCCCCCCACGTCTCCCTCTCTCTGTTGCTGTCCCTCGTTTTCACAAACATTTCATACAGCAAGGATCAAACGATAGCGGTCACCATCGCTGGCGTTTGATCAGTCGGAAGTAATTTATCTCATCATTTTAAATGAGACGGAGAGGAAAGGAGGCAGAGAGAGACTCTTTGATAACTGGCTTGTTTGGCAAACAATCTGACACGTGGCATTTCATTTGAAAATTCATAATCTTCTAAAAAGCAGTTTACTGAATCAGTCAAATAGCTAACGTGAAATGCTTTTGACGTGCCGACCAAATAGATTACATGTGATGCCAAGGTTGCTGACTGGCCTTCAGCCTCCCTGCCTAATGAGAATTTTCTGAAATCAGAAAAGAGGCACAAAAACAGCTTGAACAACTCTTTTATGAACATAGAATAAGGAATTACACTGCTAATGTTAGTAGCAAGTGTTAGAGGACTGATTTAAAATCAACACCCTGGATCTGTAAGATTAGCGTGTATTGGTGTCTAAATAACTAGCAAGATAAGTTTCAAATGAAGTCAATATTCCTGTAAATGTATGAGATGAATATGGAAGACATAGTTATTCTAGTTATTTTTTTCAGCCATCCTAGCGGCTTGGCTGTCTGTCAAGACTGAAACATCCCAAGAACGACAGGATGCATCGCCATTGAATTTTCATATTTTTTGTATTCATGGTTCCCAGATGATGAATCCCTAATTATGTTTGTTGATCATCTGACTGAGGGTAACGCATGTCTCAACAACCATCGAATGGATTGCAGTGAAAATTGGCCCAAAAATTCCTATCACGCTGGTGATCCTGATTTTTAATCTAGTGCTGTCATCTGTCCAACATGTATATGACTGCACTGCTTTGGTTTATTAATTAACATCTGCAAAAATAATGCACAACTTTGCATTTAGTGCTAATGAGGAAATGTCAGCATGCTCACACACAAAACTAATTTGGTGACCATGGTAAACATTTGACTTGTGTTGGTACGTCTCTTGTTGGAATGTTAGCATGCTGACATTAGCATTTAGCTCGAAGCCCCACTGCCTCAGTACAGCTCCATAGAGCTGCTAGCATGGCTTTAGAATCTTAGTCTCATTAGGATGTAGCTACATTTTAACTATTTCAGTATCGCATATTTTAACAACAACCTGCTCTCTAAAGTATTTTTTAAGCACATCTTTGTGATGTCTTTGGGCCTACAGATATTTGTATACATGTTGTCTTATCCTGCGTTGAATTGTGAGACAAATGTACGCCATGCTGTCCTTAAGAAAGTGTGTTGAACTGCCACAAAACTGCAAGTGTGGTAAGCAGCAAATATTGCTTCTTCAAAACTTAATTTAAAACTAACTACTTCTTTCCACATTAGACACCTTACCGTGCTGGCAGCACATTTCCACTCTATTTTGGTCCCTGGTTTCCATAGTGATGGGATGAAATGGAAATTATTTCAGCAGACCTACATTTGGATGTGTTGATTTTAATTTTATTTTTTGAATCAGTCCACTTGGGTAATCATGAAGCTGTTATGCAGTAAAATGTAATAGTTGGGATGATATTTTAAGTACCCCGGCTGTCAGACACCTGTTGGGGTCAAATCTCACTGGGTGTGAAAGAAGCGTGGCATTTAGTTTCATCAGGGAGACAAAAAGTACCAAAGAAAACATTTAGAAAATATTTACAATGCCTAGAAACTCTCAGCTCGAGTGTGACGCAATTGGATATACAGTATTAAGATTTTGTCATTGTTGTGCAATCTTTCGCAATCACTTTTCTTTGTCTTAAAGGAACAATAACTTGCAAAACATGAAAGTGACATTTTCAAAGTTGAACTCCGTACGAGTTTAGAAACATCTTGTTCTGCCTCCACTTGTCTCTGCCAAGTTCTCCATCTGTCTGCCTTCTTTCTTTTTTTAATTCTGTTTATTTGATGATTTTAATCCGCTCCAGTTATCACACTGACATCAAGATTGCAAAAGCTATATCCAAAGTAGAAGTAATTAAAGTGAGCTCCCACATGGTAACTCTTTGGATTTTCTCTTGACTCCTAGATTCCTCTTCCACCCGTTATATATGTTACCCACCCTATCGGATATTCTTGTGTATCTCCTTTCTGGTATTATTTAGCCCTATTTATTTTTGAATTTTGTTTGATTTAATATTTTCTTTTACTCAGGCCATTATTGTATTGTTATTTTTTAGTAACCTTAGTTGTTATTTTAACTGTTCCAATATTGCCCCATTTGTTTGATTTCTTTTTTTTTTGCGTTTTTGATTGATTTTGGTCCTCAGACTATATCAGATTTAATAACATTTCCCAAGTATTTCTCTGTTACCAGAAGCCCAATTAGAAACCTCACATATAAGCTACAAGCACACTTTGACTGTCCTTCTACAACCTGTTTGTAAATCCATCACTGTCCACTTTGTTTCAATCTTCATATTGTGTTTTTCTTGTGCTCCTAACCTCAGGCATCTTGGAGGGCCATTAACCAATCCGTGTACTTTTAGACAGATGAAACATGGCCAGGGCCATCGATACCCGTGTGATTCATGCCTGTGGCTTAAGGTTCTAATATTTCTACCAGCCCGTCTGTCTGGCAAAGCCACAGTCACTATTTATCACCCCTATGCCTATGCCGTTGAGATAGGTGTTATACTGCGGAATATCGTTTTTAGGTGTGTGTGTGTGTGTGTGTGTGTGTGTGTGTGTGTGTGTGTGTGTGTTTCGCTGATGTATACCACACATCAAACCTCCGCATTGCTTTGTCCTTGAACATGTTCCTAAAGCACTGAAGTGAAATGAAAGCAGGCGTCACTTCGTCTGCTGTGAGCAAACGTGTGAGTGAGTCATTGCTCGTCATCGTTAGAGTCCTGACAAATTATAAATTGTCTTTTTAGGACTAAATATTTTTTTTTTTTTTATTTTTTTTTTTTTAACCACAGGCATTTTATTATCTTTTCAATTTTAGGAATGTTATCGACACAGGAAACAGAACAAGGAAAGGCTTAATTGTAATAGATTTCCCATTAAAAGAACATCCAACATGCATCAGAATGATTGATGAAGTCATGAGTAGGATTACTGAACTCTCATTCATGAAGAAAGAAATGTTTGTATTGTGTTTATGAGAAACGGCAGGATAGGCAGCCGTCTGAAGAAGCTTTTTCTGAAGTGAGACAAAGCGCTCCAGGCTGCCTTCACTTTTCTTCACCGTTTTCATGATTTAGTTTGTTTTTTAATAAACTGATGGTAAAATATGTGGTTCCATCTCCATCCACTCGTAGCTGAGCATCCAACAGCGGTTGTAACGTTGCTAATGTGTTAACTTACAATATGTTGTTGATTGTTGATGTGCTCCCCTAATAATACTGAAACTATTGCATTCATTTGGGAGGCAGTCTGCAAACAGAGGGTGACGTTACATAATAGAAAAGCACAGATTGTTTTTTTTGGGAGATAAGTTGAATTGTCCTGATGCATCAGATGGTATTTGGTGATAAATAAACAGTGCAAAATGAATATGACGCCGCATCAGGAAACCCACAGAGGATATTAATGAGATGCTGCAAATGTCCTCATTGTGACAAACCTATATTAATGCAATAGCTGCTGACGTTCCAACAAGAAGTTTTTTGCTGCATATTAAAGTAATGCCAAGTATTTGAGTACCTGACAGGGAACATCAATGTCAAAGTAATCCCTGATTAATGCTCACACCAAAGCCACACTTTGTAAACATGCCAGCTGTTGATAACCGATAACCCCCCCCCCCCCCACACCCCACCACCCCACTTCTTCATCCCATTCCAGAGGCAGGCTTTGAGCAGTTCCGCATGGCAGAGAAGGCTCATGGGAGCTGGATGAAGCTCTTCCTGGAGGGCAACACCTCCGAGGTGCTCACCAACATGGGCAACAAGGTCCTGAAGCAGTACCTGGAGGCCCTGGCCGCCATGAGCTCGGCCCTAAGCAAGCAGCTGGGCAAGTACGACATGTACTCCATGGTCGCAGGCACGGTGTTTGTGTTCCAGGTGAGTGCAGAGGGGTTCCGTTCATCCTGAGGACTATAGAGGCCGGTAGATGGGCGTAGCCGGTAGGTCAGTGTTTCGTTAGTGTATGAAAGTCACAGGTGTGAGGACACAAAATGAGTCTCTTGTAAAGAAACATGTCCACATTAGAAAAATTTCTTTTTCAGTGCAGGATAGTTTCTAACGGTGGGATTGCCATAAATAGACTGAGAAGGAAAAAAAGCTTTAATAAGATGGAACGGCCGTAACTATCGATACTACAAACTCTAAATACAACATGTGCTCTGTATGCATTATATGTTTCAGATGGCACTGCTCTTAACTGCTCAAACACTGTTCACGTGTACTGTGTGTTTCTGCGGTCGTATCAGTTGAACAACAAAGTTCTCCTTCTCCTCCGGGCCCCTCAGCTCCTGCTGGTCCTGCTGCTGGCGATGCCTGAAGCCCTCAGTGGCGAGGCGACCGTGGACCTCCCCGTCCTCTCGGCCCTGCTCTCCCTGCCTTTCTACCTCCTGTGCCTGCTGCTCGCCTCGGTGCACGTCTTGGTGTGCACCTCTGCCGAGAGCTCCTGTTACTTCTGCAGCCTCTCCTGGGGTCTCGTGTTCGCCGCCGTCGCCTTCTCCTCGGCGATGTTTTGTATTCTGGTCTCCATGGCGATGCGGCGACTCCCCCTGGGACCGAAGATTCACGGGAAGGTGAGGCCGTGCACCTAAATATACCACCCGTGCAGATTGGAGCAGATGTTTGTCCTCATAGGTGTATGTGCACGTGTGCTTTATCTCCATGTAAAACCTCAACGTTTGAACCGGTCCAGCTGCGCTGTGATTGTTTTATAACAAAGAAGATTAAAGGGACAAGTGAGTCATCTAAAGTTAGTTTTTCATCCGGAGACTGCTGCAACTTGCTGCTGTTTAAACTTAATGGGTAATACATGGCCACATGCTAAAGGGGCAGCATTACACCTCTACTGCTGGGTCCATACAATCTTGATTTACAGTCATCGGCTATAAACATTTTGAGAAGCAGTCTAAATAGCTATCTTATAATATTCATGAATGGCCTCCGCCTTCAGTTTCTATTGGTCATCTTTGTGTTTACGGTGCCATTAACTGCCGGCTGTACGGTTCATTGTATTAAATCTAAAATGGCAGAAATTTTGCTCCACGCTCTCCTCCAGGCGAAGTCGTCTCCCGGTGGCGCGGAGGACAAAATGAAAATGTTCTCATTTCTGCCGCTTTGGATTTAATCAAATAAACAAACTATGAAAACGTACACGAACCGTGTACCTTCAATGTGATTGACGAGGCCTCGGGGCAGTTCTTCGTCCTCTCGTGTTGGACTGAGGACAGACTGGACTCTGCCGTGACTCACTATCGCCTCTCCAGGTACAAGTGGTATTACATGACAGGACGGGCCGGGGCTAGCTGGTTAGCGTGCTAATTTCAGTAGATATCTCTGCAACACAATACAAAGACGTCTCTGGCCTGACGTGAACACTGTAACCTCTTCACATTCTGTTGTAAGTGTTGGTTCATTTCTGTGATTGTGTCAAACAAAAACTTTGGTCAGATCTTACACGTTGCACCTTTTCCTCTTATGATTTCATTTCTCACGTCTTGCGGGTGGAGAGTTAATGCCTTTTTAGAATACCAAAATGTATTTGAGAGAAAACCTACTAAATCCACTGAGGCTCAGGGGGGCTGGCACGCTCTTGTCTGTTGTACCCCCACTTTGTGATATACTGTAGCTAAGTTTGCAAAGCCTTTACTAATGCAGACTTAAACCACTTGAAGGTATTGTGAAACAAAGGGCTGAGAAAAAGTTTTAGTAGATCTTCTTTGATCTGTTAAAATTGAAAAATCTCTGCACCAAAAATTACATCCGTACAGAAGTGCTTCAGCGAGTCCCTATTTCTGGATTTGAGACTTCGGGTGCCATTTATAAAAATAAACAAGTGTTTGACCGTATGCTCAGGAAGATGTTAAGGTAATAAGTAGTAAAAACCTTTGATATATTGAAAAATATTTTGGTTTTTGTTGACACGTAAAAAAAGTATGAGCATGTTTTAGTCATTCAATGCAGTGACTGTGAGAGTTATAGAGAAGGAACCTCTGACTCAGCATTTCTGTAACCCCTGAGTTGAACTGTTAATGCCAACAGCACAACAAAGGAACCATGTATTTATCACAGACGCTGCCACAGTGTGCTCTGCTGCAGGTTCACTCCGTGTCCCAGAAGTCACAGGCTCACTTTGTTTTCCAAATCCACCTCACAGTTCTGAAACACGCTGCCGCATTGATGAACATAATCCGTCCGTATCAAAAATGTTCCAGTCTAGCAGAGTTGAATCTGTTGGGATCATTGCGTGTCTCCAGCTAGTTGATGCCCTCCACGCCGCATTATAGAAAGTTTATTTATTTTTTTTTTTTTTTGTTGTCAAAGCAGCGTTACTCCAGTGAAGCGTGATGGGAAGGGATGAAAAGTCGTAAAAAACTTGACTATTTTCTGCATTATTAAGTAAGAAGAAACTGCAATAGACATGAAGCGTTATGTCAGTCGGTGCAGCAGCAGACCATGGATATTTTAAGAGAACTGGATGCCATGTCTCAAGAGAGAGTCCACTTCATTCCAGTGAAAGATGTTCACAAACCAAAATAGTTTTCAGGCTTCCTCAGGCTCCTGCGGACACTTGGAGTGTGCTCACTGTACGGTCAGGTACGCCTATAGCTAAAACTAATGCAGTCTAATACGACAGTCCTGCGGGTGTTCCTACTATTTTGTCCACCCCTCGGCATTTATATGTTGAACAACAGAAACACCTCTCTACAGTTCAACAGCACCTCAAACTTCATCCTCCAAAACGATCATTGGAGCCTTCACGAGGGGAGGATTTGTTGCAGGACTGTTGCATTAGACTGCATTAGTTTTAGCGAGGTGTGCCTCATAATAAAGTGGTGAAATAGAGTGTAGCTCTGAGCCGGCCGACCTCCTGCTGGCTCCCCGCGTACATGAATTGCATGTCAATGACTTCTTCCTGATGCAACTCTTCGAGGCTTTTGTTGGATCTTGATAATAAAAAGTCATGTTGAAGTTTACAGCCGTTTCTTTTGTAATGATGCAATTATGGCCACTTCCTCAAAAATGTCAGCTGATTTTAAGACTCTTTAGAATACACTTTAGACTTTCTGAACTCTGTAAATAAAAGAGACTTCATGGTTTAAAAATATATATAGACATATTGATTGATATATTTTCACGAGCTTCATCCTTTAACACAGTGGTTCTCAACTGGTCTGGACCCACCATCACCCCTTAATGACAAGCCCCAACCCACTAATATATATATATATATATATATATTCAAGAAGAAGTCTAGTAGTAGTAACGTATCTGTGTAATAAACAACTGCCAAATCAAATAAAGAAAGTACACATCAATTATATTTTAACAAATAACGGCTGGATTAAAAAATAAATTTCGTAACAAAATTAATTTTAGAAAAATTATTTCCACTGAATTGTCCTGCAGCTTTAAATTCAGTTCATTCAGGGTGAAGTGAAAAGGCCACAATATTATATTTTTCTCATCCTCTAAAAAGAGAATTTAGTGTTGGAAGAATTCACCTATATGACTCTGGTCTCTCTGGCCAATTTTCTCTTTTGGAAATCGTCCTATGATTTGACTTTCACAACTCAACAGTCCTGCTCTGCTCTCTATATCCTCGTCTCTCCCCCTTGTGTCACGGTGTGTGTACATCTCACTCAAGTCAGGAAACTCGTCAGAATACCCATATTTGATTGGATGAGCTGCATCACATGATGTGATTCACAATGCATTGGTCGGTGTTTTTCCTGCACCGCTGAACAAGTGCCGTAAATGCTGGAATAATTCCGCTGCATAAAAAATGCCCTTCAAAATAAAATCACATATTTTTTTTTTTTTTTTGTCAGTCAAAGGCCCGTGACCCACTGAAAACGGGTCTGCGACCCACTTTTGTGTCGCGACCCACCAGTTGAGAATCACTGCTTTAATACATTCTGATGAGTGCCAGTTTTCCGCATGTGTCAGCTGCCAAAGAGACAGTTTACACAAAAGTTGTCAAACTAATTAGAAGATTAACCGAGAGAAAAGAGGCCACGTCATTTCTAACGACACACTGGTGCCGGCAGTGGTTCTGATGGTTTTTGGTAGTCCAAATTAGTTCCATACATTGTTTATGTGATTTTCTCTTCCCTGCTGTAACGGCTATGTTGAAATGTACTTGTACAATTAAAAGTAATTGGCAGCGATGGTTGGACCGCTCCTCCTAGCGGGGCAATCAATCAGATATAGTGGGACTAGTTATTCAGAAGGTGAAAGCTTTCAGTCTTTAGTGTTTGTTTGAATTGGCCTAAAAGATGAGTCCTCTTTACTGCCGCACCTCTTTGCTCATTATAATTTATCTGTAAAGGTTACATCTCATTTCCCTTCTGTGAGCTTTGCGAAAGTGCTGAGAGGGCAAAAAGAAAAGTCGGGAGGAATCCACTCGGGCCGTTTGGGTCGGGTGAGGAAATAAACTCCCAAATCTTTCCACTGGAGGAGGAGGAGATGCACAGTGGATTGTTCTGTGAGATATTGTCTTTGAGTTAAAAGAAGTGCACATAGCTCAGCTGGCAGGTAATGAGTGGACTACTAAAGAGAAGAGTGCGTCCTCATCCAGCTGCAGACTTTTTCTAGAGAGGTGAGACAGTCGGACAGAAACTAACTCAACCGATGAATACGTCAAACATGTCCTGTTGTTACGTTTTTAGAAAGATTTTGACTACACCTTTAAGTCTCTGTGAATGAGACAATGACCACAACATTAAAGGGGAACTAATGATTTTACTGTTTGACTGCAACCTACAATTGATATCTTTAATTGTGATCATATGTTTTGATTCATTGACTAACGGCAAAGTGTCAGAGAAAGCTTTAAAAAAAAAACAAAAAAAAAAAAAGGTTAAAAATCCTCACATTTAAGCTGGAAACAGAATGTTTGTGACTGGATAGTAACGCATTGCACACAACATGGTGGTGTTTCAGCAGGGCTGTCTGTGTTTATGATTTATGTGAAGAAAGTAATGCAATTAACACATAATTTATATCTTTAATGCATCTGAAAATGAAACGCCTACAGTGCTGGATGCTGACTGGCAGACCGTTCCAGCAGTGATACCGGCTATACGAGCTCATAACAGTCTATATTTATGGATAATAAACTATTATTAGTCCTGAATACTGCTGCGGATATGCTGTTAACTACAACAGCTTGCTGACAATGACTTGCAGTTGCTGTTAGAATCCATTTTAAGATATTATTGATGACTTTGAGAGCAGTATATGGATCAGTTCCATGTATTGCTAATATATCTTGTTCTAATAACGGTGATTAAACATTTACAATCACGGCCCATCTTTATGGCCAAGATCTTTATCTCTGTAATAACCCGTGTGAGGAAATATAATCAGTAGACTCTTTGTCCTCTAAGTCATGACTGACAAACTCATTTTGATATTGAGATTAGACCCAAAAAAAAGCAGTTTTAGTGTCGCACTATATTAGTATTGGTGATGAATTCTGCTGGAAGTCCTCTGAAACGTTCTCAGATGGTATTAAATCAGCTTGAGACGTTTTTGCATCTCTTTGGACACTTTTCAGCAACCTTTTAAATTGACTTAAATACTTAAACAGCGCTGGAGTTACCATTCAGGAAGGATGATATTGTGCAACAAAGTTCCAATATGGAGACGTAAAGGGTTAGAAATGATCTGAAGTCAGATAAGGTCTCGTTATGTTACAGTAGACAATCGCTTGAATCGGTGTGGAATCAAAGCGTAAAGCGGCGGCTGCTTTGACTTGACAAATGACGGCTTTATGGGCGGCATCCAAACCTTTTATTAGAGGCCTCCTGATTAGTTTCTCTGCAACTGGAAGATTAAGTGCACTCACTAACCCACCGCCCATCAAAAATGTGATTAGAATTCCAGTTGAATGAATTTAAATAGCCGAAAGGTGAGTGTACCGCATTTAAAAGAAAAAAGGCAATATTAACCCTTAACAAATACCCCTTTTTATTTTTTGGCCTAAAATCGTAGAAATATGATATTAACTGGCATGCATGCAAAGATGGTACCAGGGGCCCTACAATCATTTTAAGGCAAAATATTACTTTATTTTTGACAAAAAGGTCACCATCCTGTCGTTTCACTGTGCTTTGACATGATGCAGGGAAAGCTAGTGAAAGGGCAGAGGAGTAACATCCTTTATTCATACATTAGGCTTCAGTTCCGGTTGTGATTGATGGATGTTCTACTGTGGATGTTGGCCCAGAGGCTGCTCGGAAAATATGTCTCCCTGTTGTGCTCTTTAAATCAACAGAAGAGCATATCCTGGCTCTCCTCCATTGTTTCAATTGTATAACTGTCTTCTTTTTAAATAATTAAACGCACATTTCCACATTTATTCACTTTCTAGCGAAGAGCAAGACGAGGAGGTCGATACCGCTCATATCTGTTCATTAAGTGTACGGCTACAGCCAGACGAAGGTTAGCTTAGCTTAGCACAAAGACGAGGAACAAGTGGGAAACAGCTAATCCACCTACCAGGACTTATACCGGTCACCTTTATGTCTAGTTTGTTTAATCCATAAGAAAACCAAAGTGTATCCGAGGGGTTATGTGCTGCACTATTTCTTGGTTGGGACCAGTTACTTCCTGGAGCAGCTGGTTGAAAAAGTCACAAAAGCTAAGCATGAAGCACAAAACTTAAGTGCTCTTGAAGGTTCGTATGGAGAAAGTACGTCATTAATATAATTAGATCCTGGTCCAGTCAGTGATTGTACACCTGCAGCAAAGCTTTGGGATCAATTCTCTTATTTGTTGTAATATGTTCACGTGGTTAGAACTCGGGTGGCTGCAGTTTGGATACGTTGCAGCTGCCGAAGAGCTTTTTAGAGTAGGCTGGAGATCAGTCTTGTTTTAAATGGTCTAACCAGCTTGAAATGGATGCATGGATTAACCTTTTGAGATGTAACCGATTTAATACGACTGATAATTTAAGATCTGTGCTATCTGGTATAGTGCTATGTCATGCAAGCTGAAAACTAGTGAAATTGCATCAATAGATATAATAATAAGGTAATAATAGCTCTGTATAAATGATGTTGCTTCCTAATTCTTTCAGTAATACTTCTATCACGCTCGTCTTTCATCTCCTTTAAAACTGTGCCAACAAGATTTCATCAGTGTCGGAAAACATGAGCAAATGTTGCTTTTGAGATTTCATAATTTACCGACCAGTGGAGGAGAGAGAGACTCCAGTAGTGGAGCTGGAAAAAACATATTGCAGCTCCCTTTGGGCTGTGATGTGTTTTATCAAAAAAACAAAGAAGCTGTTCGCACACAGGACATTCATCATATTCTCAGTAATGCAACGGTAGCTCTGGTTTTGAAAAATGAATGGGCAGACCCTGCTTAACCAAAGACTCAACCCTGAAACATAAGCAGGATAAAGAACTATATTTTGTGAAAATTAAGTAAAATAAAGGTTATTCAATCTGGGAGACATTCATAAGAATATGAACTTGGAAACAAAAATTGTGATGGAAAGAGTTTCAGAAAGAACAACCTAGATACTTATAAATGTATGCAACCTAGATGCTGTAAATCCTGTATTTGCCACAGTTGAGTGATGATGTTTTCCTTTTTATTTTTGTGGAACACAACTACCAGAACTAAATATTTAATGTCACAGCATGTAGTGTAAAGCAAACGGGCATATGTGTGTGAAAGCTCCGGTCCCACAGTGAACTGGTGCTGTAGCCTGCAGACAGAGGGAGCTCAGCCTCAGGTGAGCCCAGGCTAAGATGCATGGCTGTGTTTGATGGTTGTGAGCTGGGCTGAGATGTCGCTGCTGAACTAAGAAGGCTGGCTGAACTTGAATTGAACTTGCTTTACATGGCGATGAGCCGTCCCCACTGGACCAAATGATTTGCATTTGAGTATGCGATTGGACGAACGGCAATTATAGAAATGTGATGACCGACCGCAATTCATGAATGACGGCTCACGGTCTCTGTCTGCTGCAAAAAAGTCCTCTATCACTGTTTCTCAAGCTCTTATTCTGGAAGCTCTCTTTTTTAAAATGGAAAAATATCAGTTCCTGCAGTTTCCCCATCACCTAATGCTATCTCAGCTGAAGACACGTGTTAAATAAATCAAAAAATTAAATACTTTATAAGTGAGACCAAATTAATGTATTTAAGTGGAGTTAACATTTCATTCTTTTCATTTCCTCTCTTCAGTAAAGCTAACAGAATGTACGCTAGGCTTTCATATCAGATTCATTATGTAAGCAGGCTACAGTGATTAGAACAACACCAACATTCTGGCTCCCTCAGTAAGCTTAAAGATGTACTGCAGTAATAAACTTTAAATGAACAACTATGGAATAACTCCTGCAGTTGTGTTTGGAAACCCCCATAAAGTATCCTCTAACCCACCTGTGGGCCCCGACCCGGTCTCTGGGAACAACTGGCCTGTACCGTACGTGTGTGATGACGACTGAAGCTCATGTAGTAGCAGAAAGGGAAACAGAAGTCTGGATATTGTTTCTTTGATGTGAAAAGTATGCAGTATATGCATCAATGGACACATATTCTCACTTTTTAGTTTGAAGTGATAATAGAGCCGCAGGTGTAAGTGGTTGCAAATTGAACTGTTTTATTATGAAGCACATGGGTCATTTAACGAGTGTCACTAGATGAGGTTTTTCAATATTGAAGTATATTGGTATGAATCACCCAAGCGGTAGTTGGGTCCCAATGATTATCCCACTGAGTGGAACAATTATATCTGCCAGTGGATCCGCAGTACAGATGTGGGCGAGGGCACAAAAGGTTGAGTGAGCAGTCATGGTAAATGGACTTGTACTTGAATCGCGCCTTTCTAGTCCTCCGACCACTCCACGCGCTTTAAACACTAAATGTCATTCACCCTTTTACATTCATAACCCATTCATACACTGATGGCAGGCTACCGGTGTCAGGCCTGTGTGCTTGTGGTAGTTGGTATGGTATCAAGTTAAAATGGTCTTAAGTTGAATAGATTTCTTGAGCCAGCGAACTTACTCCTAATATTGAGAATTCGGTATCTGTTACCTTTGTACTTTTGGCTACAAACATGATAGTAATCGCTTGTGGAGATCCCAGATCTGGATCTCTAGCAATATCTACTGTTTCAAGGTCCAAGAGAAAAAGAATGACCTCTTTGTCAGACGTAACGTATAAATGTTGTTTGCACTGTTGCACTGTTTCCTGTTGTAACCACAGGAAACGCATCTTAATGCTCTTTTTGTTTTCTTTCACAGTCTCCATCAAGGAGCGGCGGCAGTGAGTGGTCCCTGTCGGAGCTGGACGTGTTGCTTCTGGCCGGCACGGTCGGACACACCCTCAGCTTGGCGGCGAGCAGCTTCGTAGAGGAGGAGCACCAAACCTGGTATTTCCTGCTCAGCACCCTCTGCCTCGCCGTCTTCCAAGACGTGTGCCGCAAGTACTTCAGAGAGCAGAGGGGCCCTGGAGATGAGGAGGAGCCCATCCTCCCTTCCAAAGACTGCCATCCCTCTGCTCACCCCAGGGCAGAGGTTTGCTCCGAGAGGTGGCTAGCGTTAGCCACGCCGCCCTTCACTCTGCTCTGCTGCCGACTGCTGCGCTCCCTCAACCAGACCGGGGTGCAGTGGGCTCATCGTCCCGACATGGGACACTGGCTTAACAGGTTGGGTTTACCATCAGTCTAAAATGAACAACAAACAACAGCAAAAAATATAACTTCCTACATTTAATAATGGCGATTCTCATTTTCAAATGCTGCTTTTTTTATTTCACTCCAGCATTTTTGCAGGTGACTCATCATCTCACTTGTTATGACACTTGTCATTTTTGCAAAGCAGAGTGTTAACTTGCAGCAGCTACCTGGCTGATGCATAATTACTCTTGGCACCATTATGATTCCTAAGAGGTTCCTCTGGGAGAAGACGCACCACTCTATGAATAGCAAAGAGACGGAGTGGTCCGTCTTTCTCTTTGGCTTCTCTGAAGTCTTCGGCCGTTCCCTATTTATCAACACAAAAGTGGTTATACGTAGAGATTCATTGTAAATAAAAAGACAGTGATACCAAATTGTCCAAAGACAACAGCCTCAGTAGTCTAGAACGCAATGCAGCGACAATCTCCATTTGTCTCTCCACCGACCCGTAAGAGCAACAGATCAGTGTAAGCAGCTCAATCCTGTTCTCTGGGGAATATACAGGCCGGCCATTATGTGAAATCTAGGACATAGACGAGGCTGGTTGAGTGAAATATACAAGGAAATTACAGTTAATAACAAAGTGAGTCACTGAATGATTTGGTTATCACAGACTTAAGGAGCGCTATACAAATCTTTTCACCTGACACCGAAGCATTTATTAAGGGTGTTTTTCTGGCTGAGAAGCTGACAGGACCCTCCACTTATTTATTTTTCTTTTCTTAAAGATTCAAGACGGGAAAATGGGTTCTGTGATTGCTCAGTCTGAGCCATTAACATTCTGTCAACAGCACGGGGGCAGGGGATTATGGTTTGTTCTTTAACATGCATCACATCGTGGAATAGAGATGTGGGTTCTGACCCTTTCTCTGTCCGGTGCTGCCCTTTCTTGCTACCTGCGCTGCCCGTTGCTTGGATAATGAGATCTAGGTAGTGTTACGTCTCATCTTGTCTCAAAAGTACTCACCGCTGTCTGTTCCAGCAAAACGTTCCAGCAAAAAATGTCCTTTGAGGGCTTATTACTCGTCTGTGCTCGGCGGCGGTGTAATTTCAAACTCTACAGCCTTAACTCCAGTGAACAATTGAAGAGCCGTGCCTCTTTAAAGTTCAAACTACTGCTGGCGGATATAACTGACCGTGTTTCATCTCATCCAAATGTTCTCTGTTGCTCAGTAAATAGTCTACTTCAAGGTTTGAGCTTTCTTTTTCTGATTGGGCAGATTCATTTTTGCTCATTATATTCTACAGTGAAATAAGGGAAATGTTGAAATGCATACTATGTGTCCTGTAATTGTGTTCTTAAATTGAATTCGCTCATAAAACTGGGAGAACTCCAGCGTTTTCTTAACCCCAGGACCGCTTGTCTCTCTGTTCCAGCTCCGAGCACAGGACGGTGCTCTCCCTGCTGGCTGCTTTCTGCCTGCTTCTCATCTACCTCCTGGTTCAAAGACGCTGTTCGTGGGTCTCTAAGGTCGCCCTCGCCCTCGGACTCCTGGGTGTCTACAGCTACCGGGCAGCTGTCGGCAATGTGTTGTTTCCCTGGCAACACTCTGGTCGAACTACGTCCAAGTAAGTTCTTGTGAACTCTTTGATTTAAGTTCATTCACCATCAAGACTTGGCTAATTGCTGTCCCCTGTTAGCGGGTTGGTTAACAGTGCAGGAGTGCTGAGTTGCTCTGTTTGAGCGTGCAGGCTTAGGACAAACACTCACACACCCGCATAACCTCTGAAACTCCCCCCTTGGACGCCGGCGTCCTCGTCCGCCATTATTGTCTTTCAGAGGCGGGAGCTGGCTCGGTTTTAAAGCTAGTGAAGATACTGGTAATACATGAAACTAGATATCCTAAGATATCCATTGGTGCCAACCATGTCATGCATGTCAGGAGGGACGATTAATTAACAACCAAAGTCAGGCAAAACTTTGGTGAGGGAAGAACTGGCATGGCCATTTTCAAAGAGCTCCCTTGACCTCTCACCGTAAGTTATCAGAATGAAAATGGGTTCTGTGGGAACCCACGAGTCTCCCCTTTACAGACATGCTCACTTTATGCTAATCCCATGCAGTATGGGGCAACATGCATGCAGTACTTTGCATGCAGTGTAAATGCATTTCCACCTAAACAGTCTCGGTGTTGCAGAAATTGCATTTGACTGGAAAGTTGAGATTCTTGTGGATCCATTGAGCCCGATTGTAGTCAAAAGTGGTTAAATGTTGCACCGTGCCACTGTGTAGCAAATTTGAACAACCCCAAAAAAGTGCTGCGACAATTGATGAGACATAAAGTGAGCATGGGATTGGCTATCGTATGTTTCCTTCTTAATGTTCTAAGCCCTTGTATACTTCAAACTTTCAACGTTTCAACAGGCGCCGCACCGAAACACAATGTTTATTCCAGATGTATCACTGGAAACACGTGACACGCAGTGCTGTGCTGCAGCACAATTTATCTTCAGGTTCCCAGCTTTCCGATGATTTATACTTTGTACATAATTATGTGGCACATGCTGTTGACCTGCTATCTCCCCCTAAAGATCCCCTAGCCCCCCCTAAAAACAAGAAAAAATGGGTCTATGGTTGGATCTGTGGTGACGAAGTGCTGTGCAGTTGTTTTTTATTTTCTTTACATCAACCTGCATTAAATCTCCCCAACCCAGTGTACCCTCAAGTCCTAAAAAAAAAGGTCTGACAGCATCTCAAATTAATTTAATTACACTGAGAAGCGAGTCGCACAATCTATGACTGTTGATTTTAATTGACAGTAGTATCGACTATTCTTTTCTCCTCTGGCACCCACACATCCTGTCCTCCTAACTGATGGAAACAAAGTCACGTTCTCACAACACAGAGGAGTAAGCTAGAGAATTAGAGTTCAGATTGAACAGGGATAGTGAGGAGGCAATACATCAACATGCAGAGTATTGGAATAATAGTTTTGTAAATTTGCTTTTCATTTGGCTTGAAAATTATTCTTTTTTTCAGCTTCCATGACTGAAATACAAAACCATGCACTGCTCATCGTTGGGTTTGGAAATATGTCGGAGCTCCTCGGCGAGCCTCAAGATGTGCAAAATACAGTGCAGGCTGTAATCTTAGCGCCTGTTGGCACTGAACAGCAACCGAACATGACTATTGGAGGTCTTTTAGAAACCATGTGTTTTCAGCCAGCGGCATGGCTTTAGAGTTGACAATGTTGGTCGGTTGGTCGGTCCACCACTTTGGTGAAATATCGCAACAACTATTAGACAGATTGCCATAACATTTTATACAGACATTCGTGATCCCCAGAGGATGGGTCCTAATTGCTTTGCTGGTCCCCTGACTTTTCTTTTAGTGCACACAGCAGGTCAAAGTTTGCACTTATCTGAAATAGTATTTCTTGGACGGATTGGCACAAAATTCCGTTGACATTTATGATCCCTAAATGTTGCGTGATGTTGGTGATCGCTTGGCTTGTAAGTCAGCAGAAGGTTCATATTTGTGGTTTTGGACTATCTGCCATGACATGGGCTCACACATCCATGTTTAACACTGGATGAATTACAGTAAATTGGTGATTTATTTTTATTATAATCTATAATATAATTTCCACATCTTAATTTATCAAATACCTAAGTTTATGTACAATTATCTGCAAAACTAATGTCATTCCCATCAGCTGTATACCATTGTCATGTTAGCGACCCAACAGTAGGATTCAGCACCGCTGTGCCTGAATACAGCCTCACAGAGCCTCTAGCATGGCTGGAGACGCTAAGACTTCTTTATGTAATAAAATAAAAATCATATTAAATCAAGCAGTTCTTTGACCGATTTGGGGAGCAGAATTAGCCGCGGACATTTTCCTGATTATTTGCAAAAAGCAAAAGAATATTCAACTTTGAGAAGTTTTACTAGCTACTGCACTGCTTAATGATAAGGGGGGTGCTTTTCCAGCTTTTTGGGGAGGAATTTGCTCTTGAGTTCCTCCTGCTATCGTTAAAAGATAAATCTTGAGTTTGTATTTGTTGAACCTGCAGCTGCACTGAATCCCTTGTGGTATACACCTGAGGATAAGAATCTCCTCTCCCAGAGCCTCAAACCTTAATCAATCAAACTACAAGCTTCATAATCACCTTCATTTCACACAGTGTATGATAAAACGGTTCCTGTGCACCTTAGACAATCTGTGTGTCCTTGAACTCAACCTGAAGTAATGAAAAACCATGTTTAATGTGTGCCTTAAAAAGAAGACATCATTATCCTTGAAAATGTATGATTCTTTACACTGTAAACACTGGATCCTTTAGCACAATCTATATGTAATAGCTGCTGTTAGCATTGTCCAGAAAGAGAGGCGATCGACCATCTTGCAGCTGCTAAGTGTGGTAATTTTTCATTCTGCAGACTGTAGCTTGGCACAGAGTTATCTCCTACTAACCCCCGTCAGAAAATAATGAGTGTGCAGGCTTGCACACAGTTCTCCTGTCTAGTTTTCCTGACCTCCCTTCATCTATCAACAGTACCTGGCCTTCCCTAACCCTTCCTGTTCTCCTTGGCAGTCTCTCCTACTTGCTCGCCTAATTAAAAACTCCACCTCTCACCCACACAAAGACACCTGACTAAAGCCATGCAGGGACGGACTGCGTGATTGACAAGGTTGACGTTGACCCGGTCCTTCAGCTTTTTCTCTTCAGACCTCAAGGTGTTGATCATTACGGCGATCCGCCTCAAGAATGTATTTTAGACCGAGTCCACAGAGGGAATCGCTGGCTTTATATGGAGCTAAGACGAACTGTAGTCTCTGGTCTTGTGAGATCTCAGGTGCTGTATTTTGATTGCTTGGCAAGGAGAAGTTATGTTTGTGTAATTATAGTCAAATTTATTTCTATCTGCTGAGTTGTTTGAATCAATATTGGAAATTTCCCACGGGTCAGTTTCTTTTGCTTTGGTATTGTCAAACAATATTGTTGAACTTATGGTTGTTTTAGATAGAATATCAGTCATTTATTGTTCTGTGGAATGAAAAAATTAATTTCAATGCTGTATTTTTTTTCCCTACACACTGTAAAGTTAAATGTAAAAAGGGACGGCTTTGTGCAGTGACCCTTCTTCAAGGCTGGTCCTCCTGGGTGACTCTTTCTGTGTGTTTTACAGCCCCCCCCCCCCGGCTACTCCCCGGTTCCCTCCTCGCCTTCCCTTTGTGCCAACTGCCTAATTGCACTGTTGCATCTTTCAAAATGGCTAATGGGGTTGAGAACCGCTAACGCTGCTCACTTTAAACGGTTCAGAGTTACTTGGATTGATGTCACTGTGGATACAGTTCGTCTCTCTCGTTCTGTGTTTCTTCCTCTCACACACACACACACACACACACACACACACCCTTCCTTCTGGCATAATCAGACATGAACCTAAAAATAGACAACTGACAGAGCAAATGTACTCCGCATTATTATTTTATGTTACTTGTATATGGAGATTGACTGATTTCAACCCGAGCACAACGATAAAAAGTTATCTACAAAGAAAGGTGAAGTGAAGGTTATGATGAAGCAAATTATATTTTTAATGTTTTAATAGGAAGTAGCTGAACGTCAAGGCAGCCGACTGAGGGCCAAGCCTGTCTAAGCCTCTATTCATCACAGCCAAAGTTTCTTTCAGTCTCCACCACATTGTCTACCAAACGTGACGCTTACAACAAGCATTTACTGTGTGTGTGTGTGTGTGTGTGTGTGTGTGTGTGTGTGTGTGTGTGTGCGTGCGCTTCACACCTGCACATAACATGACCCATTTTATCACGTACTGCTTTCTCTATAAAGGGGCTGTTTCCAAATTTAAAAATATTCATGCATACCGATCCCGCTTAAAAATGGAAATGTATTCAAACTTGTCTCAAAACACCTGTGAAACCCCTGCCACACACACACACACACAAGCATTGTCAGACAAATATTCACACACAGAATTCACTTTTATTACCCAAGAGGTGACCCATTTTATAACCCTGTTTCAAAGGCAATTCTGTGTTGGTGCAGCACGTCAGTGGTAACATTTAACAAATCATTATTCTCTATTGACTTTCAAGAATTGTTCATAAAAGTGCTTTATTGTGTACTTATTCTTTCTAAATCATGTTGGTTTAAAAAAAAAAAAAAAAAAAAGCTGATTTCAATATAGAGCATCAAGCTGGTATTGATCTGCTGAAGCATTTGGTAGACTAAATTAAATTGAAAATGCAATAATGTTTTCATTTCCCATGGGTGTTCTCTCACAATTTTGAAATCGAAATTGCAAAAACCAATCAACATTTAATTTTCAAAAACCCTGCTTTATGGTTTCTGGTGAAAATGGAAAAGCGTTGCGGCCGACTGAAGTTACATTTCAATGCTGTTTGCTGAATAAATTAAATGGCAAATGAGCGCATTCGCAAAGCTCTTTGACTACGTTGGCTGGTTCTATTCATGGAGCAGAAGTTTCACTGTTCATTGCTGACGTAGATGAGGTCGTGTGTTGTGCCCCCACTGAAGGTAAAGATCAGGTAGCTAGCCAACTTAGTCCCGCCTTCCGAGAATGACTGACAGGTTGCTAG